GGTTGCGGCAGATGGCCGCCCCTCAATAAGTCTGGTTCTGCCTGAGGTTTCTTCCTGTTATAAGGGAGTTTTTCCTTTCCATTGCCTGTTCATAAGGGGTCATCTGATTGTTGGGATTTTCTCTGTATTATCGTAGGGTCTTTACCTTCCAATATAAAGCACCTTGAGGGGACTCTTGTTGTGATGTGGGGTTAAAGTGAATTCCTCAAAATCAGTGCCACTCAGTTAGGACAATGTGATCCGCCACACCACAAAATCAGGAACAGATAGACACCTTAAACTCTCTCTACTCTCGGAATTCTTCAGATCCCAATCTGGGTGAGTATCTGACAAACACACTCCATAGAGACCAACCAAGACTACCCTCCGATTATCACGGCCCACATTTTCACTGTACTCCTCCAAGAAAGGCTGACTTTTGCTGCCACTGTGTGGTAGTGTCAAAAAAGACAATGTAAGGGTAACATCACCACATTATCAGTATTCACTAAGACAGAGACAACTGAAATGCACACAATTTGTTTTTCTAAATAAATAATAAGGTGTAGGCAACCTTAAATATATTAGCAGTGCACAAAAGGATTCATTTGTTTTCTGACATTTATCATGCACGCTTAAAAATACACAAAATGTAAAAATGTATCTTCATTTAGCAGGTACAGAAGCCATGTTTGACTTATTATTTAAATTAAACTTACACCATGAGGAGGACGGCAGGCATGATGAGTCCAGGATTGGTGGCATACGTAAAAATGTTCCCTATGAAAGCTGGTAAATCCTGCGTTATAGTCTCCATAACCACATCGTACATCCTGTCCTGACCACTGGGGGGATATTGTTACTGTTATCATTATTGTTACTAACCCTCGGATTTAAAACAAAAACAAAAACAAAACATGTGCATGCAGAAGTATGCTTGAGAAACCTGCCAAGAAGCTGCAGATTAAAAATTTTTATTATGTTCATTCTTTAAGTTGGCTCTAATAATTATGTTAATGATCATCTAGTGAATCTGAATAAGCTTGTTCATGCAGATTATTAACCAAATAAAAAATTTTAATTTGCAGAAAAAGAAAAAAGATATTTCATGCACCACCTTAGATCTCTTATTTTAACCTCATACTGACCTGAATGGACCGCAGTCGAAGGACGGGGGCAGGGTCATTATCGTGTAAACAACAGGAAGCAAGCTAAGGAAGAGCACGAGGAGCAGCAGGCCCATGTAGAAGTTGTTGGACCTCGATGCCTTGAAAACTCGCTCGTGAGGAACATTACAGGCCATCACTGCCCAGCACTGGAAGTACATCGACGTCAGGAGACGCAGCACATTCAGACCCACCAGACCTGGAGCGTAAAATGCTCCCAT